TAGGGGCAATCAGGCAGGCAGGCAGGTGAGTGGTTGGGAGCCAGCAGTCCCAGATTGTGAGAGGGATGTCCAGCTGTCAGGCCTAAACCAGCAGTCAGACATCCCCTGAGGGATCCCAGATTGGAGAGGGTGCAGGCTGGGCTGAGGGACACCCCCCCAAAGTGCACAAATTTTGTGCACCGGGCCACTAGTGTAAATATAATGCTGATTTAGCGCAGAGATTGAATGTTGTTTAACTATTGTACAAGGCAAGTTTTGTAATTATCCCCATTTTCCTGATGGGAAAATGGGAAAAATTAGAAAACTTGTCTCAGACAATGGCTGAGGAAACTGTATGCACATGTGGCCTGGTACATGAAAGGACTCATTAAACACAGGGACATGGATGACACAGCGCTCATGCAAGGGGGCTGGCATCCCAATGCTGTCTGCAGGGGCAACTCCCTGTGCGTATGTCCTTTCCTGCCCATGGAAGATCATCACAGCACCTCTGTAGCTTGCAGGGATTTGTGAAGGTTTGAGAGAATAAACTTAGCACAGTGCTTTCTGCCAGAACAGAGGGAGCCCCGAGCAGGTGACTCTCAGCTATCACTGGTGATTGGAAAGAGTCCTGAATTTTAGGTTCAGAATACATTGCATGTAAACATCATGGAAGGTCAGAATGTGCTATTCCAGTTGAAGTCGTTCTTACTTTAAAAAATTATTGTATCATATGCATGTAATTTTTATAAAAGAGGAAGATGAGAGTCTGTATAAAACACCTGTGGATGTGCCAGAAGAAGCTGGGCATTTTTGTTATGTTATTCCATTAAATACTATGAAAAATAATATGCACATATACACATATATAAGGAAGAAAAGCATTCTGCATTAAAGAGAATCACACAAATTAAATGCCATCTCTTGGATCTTGGGAGGAACAAGAGAGATCTCCAGTGAGGAGCAGTGAGATCTGAGTTATTCATTTGTCTAAATTCTTCATGGCTTTCCTTCTCCTAGAAAAACACTATCTGGTCATTAATTTTGCAGCCTGTGTGTGTTTTTCTTGAACTCGTCATTTTGATTTTCATACTATGAAATACATCATGTGTGCAGACACATACACAATAGGTCTGCAGTGTAAGGAGCACTCCTAAGATGAACACGGTTTTCCTCCCCACGTAGCACGTGCCTTACTAGCACCTCTGCAGCTCCTGAGCCCCTCCACGATTGCTGTCTCCTGTTCCCCAGAGAAAACCATTCACTGGAATTGGGAGGAATAATTACCTAGCTTTTTACAATGTAATGTGGTCACATTTTTAACTCTTTGTAAATAGAATCATACTGAACATATTCTCCAGCAGCAATTTTTTTTCCACTCGGCGTTGTGTTCTGAAAGTCCCCGGCGCTGTGCCCTCACTTTCACCGCTGCGCGGCAGTCCCTGCAAACAGACACTGATCCCTATGCTCTGGGCAGCCAGTGGGCAGGCAGGTCGCTTCCAGCTTGGCGTTAGCAGAGCAAAGCCATCACAGACATTCTCAGTCGTGTCTCTGAGCTCCGCCAGGCAGGAGGCCTTCGGGGGCATCAGCCCAGCGGCTCAGAGGCTGGGCAGCAGGCCTGTGCATCTGCTCTTTTTCAACTTGACTCCTGAAGGCAGCTCACTTCCTGGCGTGACTCTCCCCACTCCTCTTCCCCCTGCAGCTGTATGAGAATCCCAGTGGTCCTCAGCTCCCCTTGGTGACATCCTCTAAAGCTTCTTCATGGCTTGAAAGCTACCTCTGTTGCCCTAGCCGGTTTGGCTCAGTGGATAGAGTGTTGGCCTGCAGACTGAAGGGTCCCAGGTTCGATTCCAGTCAAGGGCACATGCCTGGGTTATGGGCTCGATCCCCAGAGGGGGTGTGCAGAAGGCAACTGATCAATGATTCTCTCTCATCATTGATGTTTCTATATATATCTCTCTCCCTCTCCCTTCCTCTCTGAAATCAATAAAAATAATATTTTAATAAAAGCTACCACTGTTGTTGCTGACGGAGGGTTGTGCTCACCATAGCATAGCAGTAACATCTCCTTATCAGTGTTAACGTGTCTATTGCTCGGTCCGTGATAAGTACGTGAAGCTACTCTGCAGTAATGGTGACATTAGGCACACTGGATTTGCCACTGTCAGTTCAAACTATGGGATGGCGATTCCAACTCAGAATAAAACCATTTGTACTACTGGGGGAAGAGACCAGGCATTTGAAAACCATCAAAATATAAATGACTGAACAAGTCCAGGTTTTCTCCATGAGCAGGTGTCACTGCACAGCCACTTAAACCAGCACCTCCTGGAAGGTTTCACTTTTCTGATTCCATCGATATGTAGCTTTAAAACGGAATGAAATGTTAAAATGCCCCGACTTTGCTCAGTCCACATTCTGCTCCGAAGCAAAGCAGCGGGCTCACTGAAGCTCCGTTTGGTGAGAAACCCGCACCCAAGCATGGGCTGCAAGGCCTGAAGGGCCCTCGCTGACCGGGGCGTGTGCAGTGAATCTTCCGTTAGGCGGAATGTGAACCAGAAGGCAGCAGGCGAGCACTGTGCCCACAAAGGACTCTGGAAATGCGTGACACTCAGTGACAAAAGGATGAAGTCATTGTGAAACTATAAAGGGTTTTCCAAATCTCTCTCACCCTGTCACACACTTAGTAGTCACTGTGTTATTTTCTTTCTGGCTGCCGGGGATGAGTCACATCTTCCCAGCAGAAAAATAACTACAATTTGGCCTGAAATTGCGCCAGTTCGCGAGAGGCAGGGAATGGCATAAAATGTGAAGGGAAAGTTTACAATGACACAACATAATAGAGTAGATATTACCTCTTGGAACTAAAGTGAACCCTTAAAAGACTGAACCGTTAAAAAAAAAAATAGCAGCATAAGCAATATTTTAGTATACAAGAGACAAAGGCACCATTTCTAGAACACTTGTAAATCGTGTAGTAAATTTTCAGAAATAGGGCAAATAGGTTTGACTCTTCAAACTAGTCAGCTCTCTGACCACACTCACTGTCATCACATCTTAAATGCTATCACATGTGACCCTGAGGAGGGCTCCACCCACCCACAAAGCCCCCCAGGTGACAAATAATCACAACAACACAACAAAAAGAGAATAAAGGTTACCTTCTGTGGGTGACAAAAACATTATTTACATGGCCCAGCCCATTGCAGCCTGGCAGGGGACAGTGTGGAAGTTCTTGTTTGTTCAGTTTCCAGGAGAGGGGGGCCCCATGGAGAGGGTTCTCCTTCTGTCTCTTGGCAGCCAGGGGACAGCCAGAAGCTGTGCGATGGGATGTGTATTTACCTGATATGTGACCTTGGCCGTCACACCCTATCACAGGACATCTAGAGGGACACAGCAGAGATGTTACCAGCCGGGAGAGAATGGACAACTCACATGACATGCAGTAACTGAGTGAACAAGAAGGTAGTGGCGGTTCCACACTATCCAGAAGGCAAATGGTGCGATTATAGACTTTAAGAGATGCCAATACAACTAGCAAAATAGCGTGGTTCTGGCAGTACTAATGGCCCGTGGGCTCTGGGCTAAGCAACTTTCACACATTATCTCCTGTCATTATCACTGCAAATCTAATGGGCAGAGAGTGTTATTATCCCATTGTACAGGTGGGAAAAATGAGGCTTCTCAAGCTTCATCCATTTTACAAGAAGTGGAGTCCAGTTCAGACCCACACTTTTTAGCCCTAACCAACCAGGTGAGCCCTGTTGCCGACAAAGGCCCCGGGTACAAAATGTTAGCTACCTTGTCCTACATTACATAGCACATTGCTCATAGAACAGGAATTTTGGTGTCCAAATACCTAAATATTATACTTAGAAATGCTGTAGAGCAAGCAATTTAAAATTCTACATCTAGCCCAGCTGCTGTGGCTCAGTGGTTGAGCATCAACCTATGAACCGGGAGGTCATGGTTCGATTCCTGGTCAGGGCACATTCCCCGGGTTATGGGCTTGATCCACAGTGTGGGGCATGTAGAAGGCAGCCGATCAATAATTCTCTCTCATCATTGATGTTTCTATCTCTCTCTCTCCCTCTCCCTTCCTCTCTGAAATCAATTAAAAAAAAATTTTAATTCCTACATCTATATTTTTATATGTCATCCTAGCCTTGGTAGCGTATGTCTCAGAGGAGGGACTTTAATTTTGGTAAAAGTTCGCCTTAAGCAAAATTAAAGCTGGGGGGGGGGGGGGGGGGGAGGAATGCTGCCGATTTGCTGTTCTGTAGCGCTTCCACAATGCTGCTTTCCTTTAAAACAACTGGAAGAAGTACGGTCCCCTCCTCCTAACTTTACAGTATCATCATCTGTGGAAACACGGCTATGAATGGACAATTTTTCTCAAACACCCGAACACTGACAGCTGCCTCAAGGATCCCTGTGCTGAGATGCAATCAGCGCCCACTGGCACCACCACGAGGGTCCCACCCATTGGACCCACCAGCTACTTCTGGCCCTGCTGTCGCACTTACTTGAGTTCAGGGTCTTCTTTCTCTTCCTTCGTAGCAGTCATTTTGACACCGCCTTTCCTGGCACGAGGGCAGCCGGACAAACTACAGTATGGACCCAACAGAGAACAAAACCAGACCGTGTCAGCTCCATGGCCCCCGCTGCCGACACTGACTTCATTTCTCAGAAATGGGTCAGTCCTACCTTCTGTGGGAAGCATAGTTTCCAGTCACGTGCCCCGAACCATCACAGCCTGGGGTCGGACACCTGGAAAACACAGGAACAGAGCGCTGGCCACGTGGCTGTGGTGGAGGGAGGGGGGTCATGACACGTGCAAACAGAACTCAACAGAAGGAGCTGCTTCTGGTGGGGCCCGTGTTGCTTAAATAAAATTAGTTTTTGTTAAGCTATGTGACTCCTGTGTGTTAGGCTTGATAGACTGTATGAGATATCCTACATTCTTTTTTTCTTTTCTTTTCTTAAAAACTTGTTTGGGAAGGAACCTAAAATTTGACCCACAACTTCCTGCTGGGCTTCTGTCTACATCATGCAAAGTTCTTATCTTTCACTTAAGAAAAACAGTTTTCCAAATTGTTTTAGAGCATAATTTATTCTCTGTGGTACGCTCCACTACCATAACAACCCAAGGAGCTCAGGTGGACAACAGTGTTCGATGCGGATCCCAGAGACTTGGCACATTCCTATGGTTGCCAAAGGAGCTAAGTCCTTTGCACCTGGTCTGTTCGGCCTCATGGTCCAACTTAAATGGCCTTTTGGCAAATCCAGCAATAACTATTATTGACAGTCAACCATTAAATTTGGAATGAGGAGGGTGAAAGAGGAGGAAAAACCCAATTCTGCTTGGAAGGCTAATTAGAATTAGGTTTCAAAATACACTTGAATACAGTTTATCCTGCTTCTCTCCCTTTTGCCTTTTTAAAAATCCCAAATACTAATAGATACGCACCGACTGACATAAAATGCTTGATTTTTAAAGTTTTCTTGAATAAATTATCTTTATTATTTCAGTTATATGCTCACAATGGTTCAGATTTCTACCCAAACACAAGTTTGAGAAAAATAATAACCAAAAGGAAACTGTGAATACCTCCCCTTTTCTTAAACTTGAACCCACTGAACTTTCATAAAAAATGTTTTTATATTCAATCCTGAGGCAGAAAATAGGAGTAAATGCTTTTTCCAAATGAAATATAAAATCAGCATCCATCTCTTCAAGCCAACCAGAGACATCTGCATTGAGTCTTTTGTTTTTTACTTATTTTTTAAATTAAATTTATTGGGATGACCTTGATTAATAAAATTATATCGGTTTCAAGTGTACAATTCTATAATGCATCATCTGTATATGGCATTGTGTGCTTACCACCCAAAGTCAAATCTCCTCCCATCACCATATATTTGCCCCTTCCTCCCCTTCCCACCCTCCCTTCCTTCTGGTAGCCACCTTATTGTTGTCTGTGTCTATGAGTTTTTGTCTTGTTTGTTCATTTTCTATTTTCACTTTTATAACCTGCATATGAGTGAAGTCATATTTATGCATTGAATCTTTAATCAACCATTTTCAGATATAATATGTCTTCTATTTTGTAGCAAAGGGTTAAATGCTAGTCTTTTTCTATTAATATTTTACTGTCTTAGTAGCATATTGCAATTATTGAAAAATCTGTGTCAAGTGACCTTGCTTTGGAGTTCTTCTTGAGTCTCCAAAGAAGAGGTCAATGAAATGTCTCTTTTTCCTCTATGTACAGAAAAGATCCCAAACTGTCACTTATTAGATGACTGTATAAGACCTAAGTATTGGAGGTTGCTATAAGACCTGTCAACCTACATGTTTTAAATGTACTACCAACATTTTTTCCTTACAAATAATGTTTAGAGAAAATACTTAAGAGAACCGACAATTACTATGAAGGCATGGTGATGTGGAAGTTTAGAGCAATTCTATAAGATTGATTAATTAAGTACTGAGTAAGATGAAATAAGAGTAAATATGCCTGGCACTTCTCTCTTTTCAATCTCTTATTAGTTTTTAGTTAGCATTCTTATGTTTCAGTCTGCAAAAGTGGCAGTCACTAAAACAATTTCCAGAATCTACACCAACATAATCGATTGTAGTTTTACACTTTGAAAATGAGAAAAGTTGTATATTGTATAGTACCACTTTTTCTGGTACTAAAATTCTGAATGTTATATCTATTTAATATTCCATCTTTTTTCACATACTTATTTTCTGTAATTTTTAGATAAAATTTTAGAACAAATTAGAAAATGGAAATACTAACACAAATTAAGAACATTTAATATCTGAAATTTTACCTGTGGTTTAGATACCAAATGCTGATTCTACTATTTATATAAATAGTGTTTTATCATTAAACTTAATAACACTCATCTTTCCTAAAATATTATTATTTTCAAGTAAAGTTCATTAATTTTGTTTAATATTATTCCTTTGTCTTTTAAAAATATATGCTCTTGCTGAAACCGGTTTGGCTCAGTGGATAGAGCGTCCGCCTGCAGACTGAAAGGTCCCAGGTTCATTTCCGGTCAAGGGCATGTACCTTGGTTGAGGGCACATCCCCAATAGGAGATGTGCAGGAGGCAGCTGATCGATGTTTCTCTCCCATCGATGTTTCTAACTCTCTATCTCTCTCCCTTCCTCTCTGTAAAAAATCAATAAAATATATTTAAAAAATAATAAAAATATATGCTCTATTATATTTTTAAAGGGTATAGGTGGATCATTGCTTTTAATTATTCTACAGGTAATATAACAAGATATGAAAATAAACAAGTGAGAACTTTGGAATAAAAGAAGATAAGAGTCTGGCCAGAGTGGTTCAGTGGTTGAGCATTGACCTATGAACCAGTAGGTCACTAGTCAACTCCCAGTCAGGGCACATTCCCCAGGTTTTGAGCTCGATCCCCAGTAAGGGGCGTGCAGGAGGCAGCCAATCAATGATTCTCTCATAATTGATGTTTCTATCTCTCTCTCCCTCTCTCTTCCACTCTGAAATCAATAAAAATATTTTTTAAAAGAAGATAAGAATGGAGAAAATAAAATCAATAAGTAAAAGTTAATACACATATGACTTTGAGATTCTATAAACTAGGTAAAAATGAGCCAAATGTGTCTAGCACCCAAAAGTGAAAGGCAGTCAGATGATTCAAAATGCCCACAAAGAAAAATATGATACAGTTTCCTTAAAATCAGATGATGGAAACTGTTTGCCACACCGTCAGAAGTCTGATTTACTATATAAATTCTGAAGTTAACGGCGGGGGGGGGGGGGGGGGGGGCGTCACCAAGTACTGATGGTCCGTAGGAAGGCCAGGCATTTATTACATCACTACTTTAAAAATTATTATAAAAGTCAAAACTCCCAAAGCAAGCAAAATAATTAGCTTAAAGTGATTTGGGTTTAGTCATTTGAA